GCAGCCGCCTCTGCAGCAGAAGGTGCGCCTCAACCTCCAGCAGCCCCCACCCCCCCTGCAGATCAAAATCCTGCCCCCGCCGGCCCTTCAGATCCAGCCCATTGCCCTGCGGACGGAAGATGGCAGTCCCGAAAGGCCTAATACGGAGCTCCAAGCTTCCCCAGAGCCCATCGATGTCGTGCCGGAGGTGAGTCATCGTTAATTGTGGTACGCCGCCCAGAGTCACTTTGATGTGAGATGGGTGGCTATATAAATACAATAAATAAATAAAATAAATAAATAGGTAGCCACGTGGGAGGAAGGAGGATGATGCCAGGGGTGCTGCTGAGTTCATCAAGAGAATATCTGAGTGTCTTGTGAATGCCCAGAGAAAAAAAGAAAGAGAGAGTGAATAGCACCTGGGCTCTGTCTTGAACTCCGTGTTGGTTCTTTAACTTGGGGCCTTTATTGTTTACCATACCCAACAATACCCAATACTGTTTGCTTCTCCAGTCAAAGATTGCAGGGGAGAGCACTGCCCACTGCTTATCTGAATCTTCTGGCAGAGAGAAAGCTTGTATTGGGAAGAATACTGCTTGGGGCTAGGAAAGAGGTTCTCCTTTTCGTTTTTGTTCAGCTGAAAGTAAACTTGCCACCCAACCCGTGATAGTAATGGCATTTAATTGGACTACAAATTAATCCCTACATTTAATTGGACTCCTCTGGGGAAGAGCTGATCTCGTTCCTTTTTCCTCCTTTGATTTGCAGGACTGAAAAGTCTTTGCCTTTCCTGTCCCCCATCTCACCTCCTATTGCAGGCTTGGATAAATCTTGGAAACTCTTTCTTTCCTTCCTCTTCCAGGTAGAGTCTCCAACGCAAATGCACGTCGAACTAGTGTCTGAATCGCCCATGGCCATGTCGCCCCGCCCTCGCTGCATCCGTGCCGGCTGTGACAACCCTCCAGTGGCCAACAGTGACTGGGATAATGAATATTGTAGCAACGAGTGCGTGGTTAAACATTGCAGGTGGGTGACTCAGGGCTGCAGCTATGGCTCTAGCCAAGGATATCCTGGAAAGGATTTTATTTGATTTATATCCCATTGTAGAAAGGTGAAGCTGAAACAGTGGGAGAGGATTGATACCCAAACATCAGAATAACTGGGGACATCATGATATAAACCTTCCTAAATATCACTTCTGAGGCTTTTCTTTTGTCCTTGTTTCCCTTTTTAAAGCAAGCCTAGATTTTTTTTAAAAAAAAAACAAGTTTGGCAAGGCTTTTCAAAGATGCCCAGATGGTCAAAAATTCCCAGTACAATAGAAATATCACGGGAGGTTGGTTGTCTCCAGTTGGCCAAATAGTTTTTACAGAACTGGGAGGGAGTGATAAGGGGCAGGGGAAACTAGTATGAATATCAGGGAATCAATTTTAATTTGAATGGTGAAGTCTCTGCAATTATAATATAATAAATGGTGTACTTTACAAGGAACATGCACACGTAGTGCTAAAAACTAACCAAAATAAAAAAGAACTAAGAAGGTGACAGAAGCTAAAGAGAAAACAACACCAACTAAAAAAAACAACCACCACTTTCAAGTAGCAATAAAGAAGTAAAAAAAATAAAATAAAATAAAAATACCAGCCTGTTCATATTTCAAAATTAAGTTTTTTTTAAGTTTACAAATGCAAAGATAAAAAACTAATACAAACTAAGAAGAATATAGAAGGTAAAAAATAAAAAATAAAAAGTGCAGAGAAAAAGAAAAAGGAAAAAAAAAATATAAAGAAATTACTCTCCACTCCCTCCAGACAAGTATAAACAACTTCAGTAACTTAATACCTTCTCTAATGTTTCAATAAAAAAAATCTTCCCATATTTCATCTTATCAATAAACAAATTATAAAAACTTGTCATTCAGTCCTAATCAGCAAGAGTCCATTAAGAGCTACCAGAAATAATAACGTATATATTTTAACCTTAATCAAATAAATCCATTTTATATTCCAATTTATCACTTTCTCTAAAAAATAAAGCAAAAGAAATCTCTCCCCGTATCTTATCTGTTATGTATAAACAAATCTTTAAAGCCTCATCATTCAGTCCTGATTAAAAAAAAATCCATTAAGAGCTACCAGAAAACAACATATATATTTTAACCCTGATCAGATAAATCCATTTTACATTCCTTTTATTTACTTTTAAAAAGCTCCTCATCATTCAGTCCTGATTAAAAAAAAATCCATTAAGAGCTACCAGAAAACAACATATATATTTTAACCCTGATCAGATAAATCCATTTTACATTCCTTTTATTTACTTTTAAAAAGCTTGATCTGTAATCCCTTCAAATAATGTCCCATAAGTCATTTTCTCTTTGTCTCCTCTCAGAAACTCCTTCACAAGTTAACATGTCTCTTCTGTAAATCCAAGATAAGAAAGCTTTTCAAGTCACTCTTCTGATTTATTATTTGTATGTCCCCTTTAATTACTAAGACACCAGCTGGTTTCATTTGTAAATCCAACGTGGCATCTTTTTCCATATCACTCTAGTAGTTTGGCATTTTTAAATCCATTTTCAGTTCCCTATTCAGATCAGCCTCAGTCTCTATTTTGTCCAGTAAAATCTGTTCCTCTTCTATAGCCTCTGTTAAATCCATTTTTATAGTGACAGACAATCTTAAGAGTGATTTCTGGGTACATTGTTCCCAAATATGCTTGATTTCTTCCATAGTCAGATAATATTGCTACACTGTATTACTGGGTCTCTTCTCCTTTAATTGTAATCTTTAGTTATTTCTAGTTCCCTCTAGTCAGCCTTCAAAGTCCCCTCTTATATTTTATTTTCCAGTCAACAAAACTTTCCCGCGGGAGGATTTCTTACAGTTAATTTCAAAATCTTCATATATATATTTTATAAAATTTTAAATAAGCCACAGGAAATATTCTTTCAAATCAATCTGGCCCCTTAATTTTCTAAAACCAACATGCTAGTCCCTCTTTTGCTATTTTTCAAAAATAATTATTTTTCTTTTTAATCCTTAAACTTACGTGAAACCTCTTTCATCAAGGATAGAAAGAAACTCTCCAGGCCTAATGAAACATGCTATTCGGAAGGTTCTTAACATCCAAAAAGTCAATAACAAGAATTTCCTAAGGCGATTAAGAGAGGAAGCGGGTGAACCCAATGTCTGTTTGAAGGTGCCGAATTGCGGTTTAGGCAAGATGATCCCCCCCCCCCCGCTCCCAGACCTATAAAACCCACTGGAGACTGCTATTTTATGATCTCTTCATGGGGACCCTCTGTATAGAGCAAACGTGTGGGTGATCTCAGTCCTCTCCTTCATCTGGAGAGGAGTTCTGAGGAGCTGATCCGTTCACCAGCTCTTCTTTGTGCCGCGGCCGTCAGCTCCATTCTCTGTGGAGGCATTTTCAGTCTGCCACGGCTTCCCCTGAAGTCCAAAATTATACTTTTTGTTTTCAGTGTCATCACTGTTATTCCATTTTTAAATGAAGAATTGAGCCCAGACCACATGGATTTGTATTATGCTATCCTGCCCCTCCTTCAGCTAGTTCAGAGACAGGAGTGGACAGATTCCCTTAAGCCAACTTTTACTCTGGCCTTCCAGGGTTTAATTGCCTTGGCTGGACCATTATTAGCAAGGATGGAACCTGCATGTTCTAGTGTTAGAACATTTCTGGTTAGATGGCCCATTCTGACCTCAAAACCTTTCAGCCCCAAAATGGTTTTCATGGCTGTACTTTCCCCCAGTCATGAGGACTGACCAGCAAATTCAGCATAAGTTGAAGCAGCCAGTCCTGACCGCTGAGCCCATGTTCTTCCAGGGCTGATCAATATGACAGATATGTCTACTCTCCTGATAGAAAGTTGGGTTCATAAGGGTGGAGAGAAATTGATCCAAGCTGGAGCTGCTGAGAAACAATAGGCCGGTGTTAAATGCTCAGGGAAAGGATTTAGGGAGTGAAAATCCCACCTCACCCTCTTCCCCCAGGTCAGGTTATGATGGGGCGTACTTCGCAGCTGAAAAATATTGCTCATTGAAAAAGCAAGCCAGAAAATTGGAAGCTCTGTTTAGGCCAGGGTCTCCCAACCTGGGGACCTTGCAGATGTGTGAAATGGGTGGCTATATAAATGTGTGTGGGGGGGGGGGGGGG